CATTCTGCAGACACAAAGTGGATATAAAAAGTTTTAAAATACATGCCTTAGGCATGAAACTCAGTCTCTACTAGAATATTCTCGAATTGAGAAGACTGCTATATAGGATTTGTAATATTAAGAAAAATACCTATTTGTCTCTGGCAGTAATATCAGAAGAATACCCCTTGAAGGAACCAAATTTTAAATGTGGACAAATATCTGCATATCACTATAGTCATTACTGTAGGATAGCCATCTCCTGTTGCAAGTATTCTCAAACCTTTTCTGATTTCCAACACCCCCTCTAATCCTGTTCCCTAATATGGTTGGTTTTTATTAATCCCCTTTTTCGTTTTCCCTTTCATGCTAAATTCATAATAGCATTTTTCCTCAACTCATCCCTGTCACTCTAAAGTTTTCATCATTCAGTATTTTTCATGTGTAGAATTCATTCTATTTCTGTCACAGTGCAGACACAGCATCTGTAGAGTCAGTGTCTGTCTCGTACTCCCTGATGGCTCTATTCTATGTATTCAAAAGGCTTTGTGCTATAGGGGCTATTCTGTGGATACGGAAGCTGGTGTAACTTACCAAATACCACGAAAAAGGTAGATTATCTAGAGTACTTTCTGATATTCTCAATAAGATGTGGTTTCGCTATCTATAATTCCTAAGATGTGTCATCATTATTTTACAATAGAGGCTCGAAGCCTGCTATTTGTGATGGTTGTTCTTCAAGGGTACTTGAAACTTTTTTGTACTCAAGTGAGAAATAGTAATTCATCAGTAGCTTATCCTATAACTGTACAGAACTTTTGACCTAACGGATTCAGAGACTGTTTTTAGTCTTGGCTTCCTTCCCCACATTTTCTCACTCTCCAGTCCTCTTGCTACCAACTTAAAACTCTTCCTTAACTTTGCTATTGAAACCATATTGCCTAGTTCTGCATGACCTACAGAGCTGGCATAAATATTCAGGCACCTGTCATTTCACTGCCAAACTGAAAGGCATGTAATAACATGAGAAAGCCATAGGACCAACAAGTATATTCATTTCTAGACTGTCACAACCAAACCTTGGGTTGCTACGTTCATATTCAGGCCTGTTATCAGAATAAAATGGCCTCTATTGTTCAGAAAGGAATTTCACCTTTTTTCCTGCCTCCTATGTTGATAATTTTAATTTGGCACCTTATCATTTCTAGATCAAAGAATTGTCTCTCAAATTCACCGCCTCATAATTTTAACATTTTTGTTACCAACAAAATCAACAGACACTATTTGGTACATAAAATCTGAATACCCTGCACTTCTAGTACTTCATAAAGAGTTCATCAAGAATATATGAAAAATGCTGTGGGGGTTTGACCCCAAAAATCCAATCTCCAAGCTCTGCCACAATTTAGCTCAACACCAAAGAGAAGTTTTTAGACAGGCACACCTCAGCATGGGGAAAGGGAATTATATTACAATTCATTACTTACACGATAAATACTATAGAAACTAAAAAGCAAATAAATACACAGTATTAATATAACCTCTACCACCCCTGGACCCTCCCCACATCAGTTCAGGAGAAGTTTTCAGGCCGATAGTCAAAAGTCTCTCTCTCATTGAGGTATCAGGGAAGGGGTCTTCTTACACCCCCACCAGCCCTCAACTCCTGCTGAGGTCTCCTCCGGGGCTACAAGGGAACACTTGCTTTACCAGGTCTTCACGAAAGTCCAGGGAGTCAGTTTGTGAGTTCTTTCCCCCTGGTTCGTGACGGTTCCTTCCCAGAGATGTTCACTCTCCCTCTCCAGGTTGCAGGTTTCTGGGTCATGCTCACTTTTCTACCCCAAATAGTTTTCACCAGAAGTCCTTACTCAGAAAAAGCCTGCTGGTTTGGCTTTCTCTGATTTAGCTGCTGCAGCTTCAGCTCGACTTGCCACTTGGCAAGGGGGGCCAATCCCCTGCGTTCCTCCTTTGGTTTTCAGCTGCTCCTGCCCAAATCTCACGTAGAGCCTCCTCTGAGGCCCTTGGCCCATACTCCATTTCTGCAGCCTCACTCAAGGCTGCTACCCTCTCCCCCACCATTATGGGGGGGAAGAGGGAGCAGCGAGGCTGCTTCGGTCTCTCTCCTCTGCCTGGAGTTCTTCCAGCTCTGCACATGGCAGCTGCTTCTTGGGGCTCCGGATCACCCCTGGCCCGTCTCCTGGCTCAGCTCCAATGCTGAGCTTTAAGTCCACGCCACCGCCTTTCCTGGGCAGTGAGGGGAAAGAGCCCCCTGGCCTTGGCCACAGGCACCCAGTCAAGTTAACATACTGTCCCGAGCTCCCTGCAGCCTGGCCGGGAGGGGAAGAGGGCCTGGGCCCCCCCACAAGGGAGCCAGCAGGCCTCTCTCCTCTCACCTCATGATCTCACACTCACACACACCGCCAACAACTTCTGGCTGTTGTAATATCTAATTTCACAGGGGCAAAAAACCAGCTCCAATTGGCTCCTCACCGGAAACTCAGCTGGGACCAACCACTTCCAGCCCCCTGGGGGGAGGGGACAGCTCAACCCATGACAAAATGCCACAGTAATGCAAATTCTCTTAAAATACTATCATTTAAATGTTTTTACAATCTGTTTGCAAAGGCTTATGTTCTTTCAATATTCTTCAGTCCTATAACAATGACTATAACTACTGTATTGATTTGTGCGACACGGAACATGTGCTTAACACCAACTATTGTAATTAGAATGGAAAGATTTAAGTAGAAAGACTCAGTTGAATTTGGACAAGTGTCTTACCTATCATTAAAAACCATTACTTGACTTCAATGATCATGATTCATATTAATTCTGTGATACTGAATATTTATAGTTCACATGACCATTCTGATGAAGGAATGGCCAGTCACCATTTTCAAAAGTGAAGCTTAATTAAACCACCAGTAGTAAATTCAGTTTTTCTGGGCCAGATTCACACCTTTAATAGGGTATAGCAAGGCCATCCATTTTGTAAAAGTACCTTGAAGTCCTGCTGATAAAATAATCTATTAGTTATAGAAAGTAAAAAAGTGTTTTTATTATTTTATATTAGATTAAAAAGCAAACAACACACAAAGACATATGCCTCCAAGTTGCCATCTGCTTTCATTTCCTCCTACTCATTTCTTGTTTTTCAACTACTCAACTTTCAAATGCCTGTGTTTTAAAAATCACCAAAATCTCCCTGTTACAAGATTTTTCTTTCTTTTTTTTTTCTTTTTTTTTTGTGGTAAGTTTTATTTAATCTTCCCCATGCCATTATAACCTGTAATTTCTCCTATTTTAATAGTGACTAATTTTTACTACAGAATATTACTCTAAGCCTATTTAAGTCAAGAACAAAGTTGTATATCTGTTCTTGTACCTTTCACAGAGCAAACACCAACCCAAGAACTCCACATTAAAAGTATAAAACTTACATGCTATTATATGCTTACATATATTACATATTTACTCATAATGTAATAGATGCCTTTATTCCTAAAAAGAATCCCTTGTAATGTCAAGTCAGTACCCAAGACCTCCAAAGCGCACAGAAACTATACAGTATTTTTAAGAAATCTACGTTAAGATCATACAATGTAGCTTGCATGTAAGATATTTCCTTAAAATTACCTGTCCTGGACAATACATGAGTAGTTTGTCTCTTATGATGATCCACTAAAGCAGGAACAAGTGGCCCTTAGACTTAAGAGGCAGGAAACAGGCAAGGATGCACTGTACAAAATAACCTTGCAACTCCCACACAGATAAATAAACAACGAATGAAAACAAATTATATTTAATGTTTTCCCTTAAAGACTCATTTTGTAGTTTTTATTATATTTTAGGAACACAAAAATTCATTCTCGGCAGTAGTTCCGTGACTGGAAAGACAGAAACATTTATGCCTGGCCTACATTTGTAACGTCACACCAGAGATAATTATCACTGAAGATCAACGTTAAAAACCTTGCTTCAGGACTAGGGATTTTCTAGTGATGCACAAACAAGAGAAAGCCTATCCTAGAGCATCATTACTTCAATTCCTTATATCCCATTCCTTCAACACCACTGTACAAATAAGAGGTAGTCTACTCTTTTAAGCAGCTTCTTTGTAATGTAATGCAGCTGGCCACCTTAGTTTCATAGATACAAATTCTCTTTAAGAGAAAAAAGTACATCGCAACTTAAAAAACCCCTGCCCCTCATAGGTCAGTTTCAAAGTCTAAGTTCTCAATAAAAACTCAAAGGTGAAGGGAAAGTATTATCTCAGGAATGGCAAGGATACATTTCACAGGCTGAGATATCTTTTTAGACCTTTACATTGAACTCAAATCCTGATTTTAAAGGTAGAAATCTGAAATACCATCATACTATTTTGTGGTAATTCAGTCAAACATAGCAAGGACCTTAGTCTCTGGATTCTTTCCCTTTAGTTGAACACTGAAGCTTGGCCAGTTGTGACGACAATGCTATCTTGTAACCCTCGCTCTAACAACTGGCATTTTGGGTGTCTTGTCATTGTAGAAGAATACAAATGTGGAACAAGCAGGTAAAACAGAGGAACACACTATACCTTTCTGGATGTCATTCTATTAATGTGAGAATTTGAGGAGCTAATATTTGCAATATTCCTTTCTGCAGTCCCCAAGTTATTCCCACTAACAACATGACTCTATCAAACAGAAAGGTAACTGTTGAGAGAACAAATCTTACCTTATAGGGAAAAAAATAGTTATCACTGCTAGAAGTATATTGCAGACTTTTATGGACACTGAAGAGCAGTTTTAAACCTGTCTTGAAGCCAGATTAAGCTCAAAAGGAAAGAAGAAAGAGGCAAAACCATGAGTAATTATTAACAATTAGGACACAGACTTGTTTTGCTGCTGTTGTGCAAAGGCAAAACCTTTCTACAATAGCTATTGTAGAAACTTGGATTGCACATGTGACCTACATAAAATGCCCAGGGACAACAGAGAGAAAATGTTTGGACAAAAATTTGACAAGGGGACTCTGAGTAAGAGAACACAGGAATCTGAATTATTTTATTCCAGTCAATATAGAACTGTACCTTTCAATTCACGCTTTTATAGAGATGATAAATCAACAGTCAGACTAAAATATATAGCTGGTTTTCAAAGCAACTTTTCTATATTGATGAAATATCCAGTAGGTAAATTTTGACAATGATTAAAAATCCATCCCATTGTGAAGAGCATGCAGTTCATTGGAATATAGCTCTCTGAACATGACTACGTTCCAGGTGATTAAAGATTTCCTCTTGTGTTTCTGGAGTGAGCTGTATATTATCTTTGATTGGAGATAAAGGATCTGACTTTCTACAAGAAGGCAGCTTTTTGTACTCTCTGCACAAAAAAACAAAGACAAAATAAAACCCCAGAATGTTATGATGTTTTATATTTCTAACCACAGGCCAGTAAGAACATATGAGTTTAAACAAAACAAGACCCCTAACTCCCTCCTCATCTATGAATAAGTACAAAATAAAAATTCGTCATGCAAAATTTTAATTTCAGTTTCAGTACAACTGAACAACTTTACTGAGTGTGACAGAATGACAGCTGTTAGCTTTATTTCTGAAAGACTGTATGTACCCCATCCTACTCTGGGTTGTACATGCTTTCTGAACATTTAAGTCTTCTGAATAAATGTAGTTTTTTATATATCCCATGAGTCTTGACATTAAGACAGAACAGATTTAGTGCCCCACATGATTTATTTGCCGTCAGGTAACATAATTGTTAAAACATAAGGTTAATTTAGATACATTTTAAAATCTGAAAAAATAAAGAGAATACTCAGAGTTAAGTCAGTCCTGGCAGTAAAAAAGCCCTTTTTCTGAAATGTATTAAGAAAAGAATCACATAAAAGCTAATAAACAAGTACTTTATGTACACAGAAGTAAGTAATACAAAAATATATATCCCCATTACAAACACCCAGAAGTTACAAACCAAAACTGAATGAATAAAATGCAGATATTGGGAGACTCATCTTGCAACCACTGGCAGAGAAAAGGAACAGAGTCCCACCTAGGCTCACTCTCTTCTATCTGCCTGTATCCCAGAAAAATCAAAATATCTGAATTTTCTCCCTGTGAACAACCCTGGGACAACATTTACAATTACAGGTGAAGCAATACATACACAAACACTTTAATTTCCTCCTTGAAACTGTAATTCTTACCCTGCATCAAGAGGATAATAAAGATTTATAAAAATGTAAATACCAAGAATAATATTTTTTTAAACAGAAATCACTTGTATGTTTATAATAACCTACCCTAAGGCCTAAACTTGCTAAAAAAATGCATTCATCTGACTTAACACATTGCTCAGCAGTACCATTATTAACCACTCAGTGAAAAAAATACTTTTATCCTACTCACATTTGATTTTGGACTAGCAAAAATAATAATTTTATTTAAATAAGACTTATTTAAAATATTGCTACTTTGAGCTGGTAAAACTTTGCCACCAAGAATTTTTACCTTAGCCCATGGAAACAGTGTAAGTTAGAATACCTACACTTCAGGTTTTGTTTTACTTTTTTAAAATAGTCATTGCCCTTCAAGTTCAAACCTTGAAGATATTTGCAGAAACGTCAAGTTAGACAAGCCATCTGCACAAGGAAAAGCAATAGCATTTTATACTGTGCAAAAATGTCTCTTCCAATCACAGACTTCTGCTAACAGAAATATTTCATCAATTCACAGTCATCTTGAAAGCAGAACACTTCTGACAATCAGCCATCTCAAAATGTGAGGGGCACAGAGTTAAACAGAAGCAACCTTGTATTCAATTAAATTTAGTAATTTCTATGCAGCTTTTGCATTTAGATTAAGAAGTGACCTTTGGTGTTGTCAAACAATGGCGATGATTTTCATATCAATTATGTTAAACTAAATGCCCCAATCAATAAAATTCAACAAATTAATTTTAGCTGAGAGTTTTTCCTGATTAGAAAAAGTAATTCTAAGATATTTATCAAAAGTCATGCTTCACGTTTATATCAAGCTTAGAAAATTATAAATTATACGTAGAAAACATCTATTTTGAGCTATTATCTTTATTGAACTGTATCGAGATATGTAGAGTCTGCTTTGAAAATCGTTTATTTGGAAAAACTGTATACAGGGTACAAAGTAAAGGGTTAAAGCAACTCACCTTTTAAATTGGAAGCTTTTCCAGAGTTCACTAACAGTAACTTGCAGTCCCAGCTTATTTTCAGCATCACAGTCACTTCTCTTCTGCACAGGTGACAGTTTCCTGCTTAATCCACTTACTTTAGCTGGTACCCACGGTTTGAGCTTTGTTACAATACGTGATTTTGTACTACTGGACTTATGTAAACCAGGAACCTGTGAGATTTTAATATTGCAGCACACACGGTTAAAATGAAAACCTGTAAGCAACAAATACTATACTGCAAAACTTATAATCAAAAAATAAAGTGCTTTACATTGTGTCGAGATAATGCAATATGAATTGCCACAAGAAGGTATATTTAGATAGCTTCTATAATCTAAAAAGTGGTATCTCAAACACATTAAACATAATATGCTGTAAGAACTGGCAAACCAGTTTCCATAGGTCTTTGTATTCTAAAAGGTTGCAAAGATATGTTTCTTTGAAAGAAGACACAATGAGTGTCTACAGTTCTAAGAAGTTACTATTTTACAGTTGGCTACATAAGATTAGTTAAGGACACCTAGGTTGTAAATAATGCTCTTATTTCCCATTTGGATAATATTAAGAATAAAGTGTTTTGCTAAAAATAAATAATCTTTTCCATTTTGCTGGATCATCTTTAGAAAATGGCACAGCTCTGCCTACTTCAGGTGCTTCACTAACTAATGCAAATAGCTCTTTCCTCATCCAAGTATTTCCTATTGACTACCTAACACTTTTGTATTTTAAAATAAAAGATATTGTCAGCCTTTTCTCCAAAGAAAACTTGTAGCTTTGTTCTTTCCAAAATGACAGTGTATTTTGCCTCCCTCCCCAACTTGTTACATATTTTTTTGCACCTTGAATACTGCCTTCAGTTTTGGGCCCCTCCCTCCAAGAAGGACATTGAGGTGTGCAGAGAAGGCCAATGGAGCTGGTGAAGGGTGTGGAACACAAGTCTTATGAGGAGCAGCTGAGGGAGCTGGGGGTGCTTAGCCTGCAGAAAAGGAGGCTCAGGGGAGACCTTACCAGTCTCTACAACCACCTGAAAGGAGATTGTAGCCTGGTGGAGGCTGGTCTCATCTCCCAGGTAACAAGTGACAGGACAAAAGGAAATGGCCTAAAGTTGCACCAGGGGAGGTTTAGATTGGATGTTAGGAAAAATTTCTTCACAGAAAGGGTTGTAAAGCATTGGAACGGACTGCCCAGGGGAAGTGGTAGAATCATCATCCCTGGAGTTGTTCAAAAATCGTGAAGATATGGCACTTCTGGATGTGGTTCAATGGTGAGCATGGTAGTGCTGGGCTGACAGCTAACTGTAAGGATTCTATTATTGAAATTCCATCGTTTCTACCTGTTTCTACCATGCAGATCTTGGTATTCGAAGGGGGGAAAAAAAGTGTTTAAACTGTAGACTAAAAATTGGAACAAGAATACTAGGAAAAATAAAAATAAAATCCTAAAACTCCCTGCTTGATAGTATTTTGCCATTTATCTATCACCTCAGCCATTTTGCAACATGTGTGAATTCACCATAATCCTACGTTATCTCTGTAGTACTGAATTACATCAGAGTTATAATTTAATTTAGCTACCCCAAAATTAGGCAAAGCTGCATGCTGAACACCCGTTAAGAAACTTAAAGCCGGAGCAGAACACTCTTTTCTATTGTCAATATTAGTGTCTTTGCTGAGCTCACAGCAATTGTAAAAATTAATTGGCAATAAAAACCACAGCTGAAATACTATCACAGAAAAAAACCCATGAAGTCTTAGGGAGTTCACTGTCTTATAGGTAATTGTTAGTAAAAAGCTTCTATTAGTTTTGATATTAGAATGGAGTAGGTAGGCACTTCACATTTTGGATTGGAACCACAATACAAGCTGACAAATTTCTCAGACTGCCTCCCCAGTTATTAAATTTTTCTATAGATCAGCTACATAGCTGATATTCAGCTTACCAAAATCAGAATTACGCTTCAAGTGATTAACTGCTTCTTCCCTAAATCTGGAACTCATTATTCCCTTTTATAGCTATCTTCTACTATACTTAACACCAGCAAACACTTCTCTTGTTTTACCCTTGCAGTAAACAAACCTAAAAGAAAACTGAGCCAAAAGTGGTGCTCTTTATTTCTACCTTTCCTCTCCTATGGTCCTACTGGTGCTACAACTCAAAGGAATCCAAGAGTCTGGGTGGGTCCAAGTTCCAATATGATTGACCTATTGATTATTGCAGTCAAGTAAAGTTTTTGGCCATGCCAGTTTTCTGGTGCAATTCTTTATAAGTCTTATTACGAGCACATAAAGGAAGCAGAGAGAATGCACAGCCAAGGAAATAAGTGGGAGAAATCCTCCTACTAGCTGCTTGCTTTACACAAACCCTACTATCCTCACAGATTTTCAGCAGTTTTTCTATTACCTGAAGGGCTCCAAGCATGCTGAAATTTTATTTTTACATGATGCTTATATTACCTCAGTACTTCCATAATGTGTATTCCCCAATATTTATTACATTCATTCTCCCAATATAACTTTTACAAGAGCAGAACAAAGTAAAACATTAAATATAGCCTCAAAAACAAAGCAATAAAATTCTGAATCCCAGGATGATTTCATTGCTCAGTCTTATTGAGGAGAAAGTGTTAATACTGCAGAATAAAAATGTAAATTTCATCTTAATGAATAAGTTCCTGACAATAACCACAAGATGTCACTATTTTACAAAATGTAATATTTTGTTTGGCACAGACGCTTCTGATTTTTTGCCCGTTTATGAAAAAGAAGTCAGTTAGGCTATGCATGAAAGGACGAAAACATCTTCCTCCGACTTTATCTTTTGGCCAATTCTAATGACACCACATAAGGAGTCAGAGCACTTTTAGCTGTTAAAGTCTTAGAAGTTTTACAAAATAGACAAATGTGTAAAGCTCTTCGAAATGTCAAAGACAAGGAACATAAGCTTATTCTAACTAAGGTTTTTTATTCAAACTAAGGTTTTTTTGCGTTAGCTTGGTTTTTTATTTTATATTGAAGCATTTGAAATCCCCAAACAAATTGCAACTGTGTTATCAACCATAGGTGGCCTGGTTATATTTCATCTCAGCTTCGATGTAGATGAATAAGAACACAGTTTTGTCTTGCCAACATTTGCATTGCTTAAGTCTTTCACTGAGAGTTCCACAAGGAACTAGAAGAAAGCAAAAACTGATTTTCAGATTTTAATAAAGCTCATAAAGTTAAAAGAACGCTTACCTTAGTTTTCATGATTGTATTTTTTTTGTCAGTTCGAACAGCAGAAAATAGCAGAGACAGAGTATGTTTATCGTCAGCCAGTTTTGAATTGGAGTCAGATTCCTTCAGAAGAAAATTGATTTGGTTTTAAAACAGGTTAGGGTTTGTTTTTGCAAACACAATACATATTTTTGTATCTACAGCTACATACCTTAAAAGACAACCTTTTCAGTAGTTCTAAGAACCTATACAAACACCTGGGCTTACTTTAAGCAAACAACACTATGAAGACATATATATATATATACACATATACATACACACATATATTTATATACACATATATATACATACACACACACACACATATATATATATACAAACTTTCTGAAAGGATTTCAGAGACTAACAAAAGCAGAGAATAAAAGCTTGCCTACCAGGGTTTTTTATGACCCACTGTAGAAATAGCAGCAGAAAGACTGAAGACAAACTAAAACAAGACTTTATTCAAGCTAGTATGTCAATGTACATTATATTACAATTATTTTAAGCATTGACAAGAATGAAATATAATCATTCTATGATTCTATTTAGAAACAAGTTTTGTTAGCACAAGCTACATCGTCTGTAGGTCACCACTCTGAAGAGAAGACTTCATTGCATAATTTGTTTTATAATTTAAAGCGAAAACAAATGCTAAAACAAATGTCTAATTTTCTTACCTTTGCATCTGAACTGTTTTTGGACATTTGTAATATTTCTGAAGACTCCAAACTAGATTCTGATGGTTCACAGGACTCATGAGACTGTGATGACTGTTCCAGTTCTATTAAGGGGGAGGACTCTTCCTCTATTTCATCACACACTGCCTCATTCTCTGTTTGAATCCCATTAATCTGATCTTCCTGGGATACAACACAATTGTTTCTCTCTCCGTGAAACTGCTGTGAAAATACAGTATGAGATGGACCAGGGTTTCCTGAATTACTTACGAGGCTGCTAAACCACTGGAAACAACTTTTCTGCATTTCTCCGGGAGGTATTAAGACAGTCCTGGTTGATTTTTCAGTCTCTGAAAACTGAGAGACATCCTCTGCCACATATTTTATTTCCTGTTTCTGGCAATCCTGCTCAGTATCTTGAGTTAGATCATTATCATCATCCTTCTTCACTCTACCGTCAAACATAATTGCATCATTGCAGAAAAACCTAAAAAAGAAACAAAAAAGTAGAGGCAGGGGAGAAGAAAGTTACTGCAAATGTATCTCATCTCCAAAATCCAACAGCTGTCTCTATCCATCAATTTTATTTTCAAGGTACATTTGCAGACAAATTATTTTGACAATGGGCAAAGTCCTTCAGGGAGGCATTCAACAAATAACAATAAAAAAGGGAGGGAAAAAGCATCTGTAAACATGTCATTCATTGACTGGAATACTAATAAGGTTCTTCACCAGAAAGCAAAACATACAGGAATCCTACAAAATTTAAGAATATATTAATTAATTATCATAAAGCTAAGCAGTAGTGAAATACTTCAGGCACCTCTTATCAAGGAAACTAGAACCTTACTACTTCTCTTCCATGCTATAGCAGCAGCTCCTAAGAGTACTAAGCACAGATTTAGAGAAGAACCTATCATCACTGACAACTCTAAATATTTGATACAACATAACAAAACTTTCAGCTCAGGAAGGTGTGCCTTAAAAGTAAAGAACATCAGTATTAAGACTGCTCTGTAAAACTACACTGCTTTAAAATATTCAAAGTATTTAAGATAATAATCACACAATAATAGGTTTAAGGGTGATAATGCTTTGTAAAACAAATTCAAGTAGCTGTGGCCAAATGCAACTAAATGAAAAAAACACAAAGACAAACAAACAAACAAACCCAAAAAAACAAGAACAACAAAAAAAACCCAACCAGAAACCCTAACAAACCCAAAGTCCCTCTTCACAAACCCAAAGTCCCTCTTCTCAAAGTGCTAGTTCAGAGATCAGCAGTATCAACTGAATGGGATAAGAATAGGTATTTGTCATACAATATGACCAGTTTGAATTTATCAAACAAAAAGCTCTATCAACTTAAGTCAATGTATTGACTAACTGCTTATATATTTGGCAAAAAGCAGCTACTTTTTTTTTTTTTTTGAGATATGTTGTATAACCTTTACCTGGGAAAAAAATGGCCAGAAGTATTGGATATTATACTGAGAGACTATAAGTAGATCACAAGGCTGGAGCATCTCTCCTATGAGAACAGGCTGAGAGAGTTGGGGTTGTTCAGCTTGGAGAAGAAAAGGCTTCAGGGAGACCTTATAGCACCTTCCAGTACCTACAGGGTAGCCTACAAAAGAGCTGGAGAGGGACTTTTCACAAGGGCATGTAGTGATAGGACAAGGGTAATGGCTTCAAACTGAAAGAAGGCAGGTTTAGATATTAGGAAGAAATTCTCCACTATGAGTGTAGTGAGGCACTGGAAGAAGTTCCCTTCCCCAGAGAAGCTGTGGATGCCCCATCCCTGGCAGTTTTCAAGATCAGGTTGGATATTGTTCTGAGCAACCTGGTCTATGAAAGGTAAGCATTTTGCTTAGCATTCACATTATTTCAGCAACCAGGACAGCAAACAGTATTTTGCTACTTATTAAAACATATGACATAAGCATACCTGCTTCTTGTTCCTGGAACAATTACAGCATCCTTGTCTTTGTTTTTCCTTTGTAAAAAGGAAGCAAATTTATTTCTAACTCTGGGCACGGAGTTAGAGCTTTCTTGAGTGAGAGAACTTCCTGAAGAATCAAGGCTTTGTATTGCTGAGACTCTCTTTTGTGCTTGGCCCTCAAGATCATCCTCCTTCTTGACTCTTTTTGCTTTTGTAAATGAATATTGCTTCAACAAATCTCCATCTGAGACTTCTTCCAAATCTAGACAATTTAAACATTATTGTAGAAGCACAATACTACAATTAACCAGTGACGAAATAACTAAGCTTTACATATTAAAAATATTGGTAAGGTCTAGTAGGAACATTATTGACATTACAGTTAAAAAGTTCAAAACATTGTTTTCTATTATATAGCCTTAAAAATAATTTTTTGCAGATGGAATGAAGACAGAACAATTAAAATGAAACATAATATTTGTTTTGGATATGGTGTGGTTTTGTTTTTTTTTTTTTTAATGCTTTGAAAGCAAAATTAAATTTGATTTAAAGGTAGGTTGCTAAACTACCTACAAGGTTTGATAAATGAGAGAGTAGGAAGATAGCACAAGTAACAAAGGCCAAAAATAAAGGCCTAGTAGCATAATCAGAAAGCAAAGAAAGCAGAGGAAGAGAAAATACTTAACACATTACATAAAGCACAATAGGAACAAAAAATTACCCCTTCTATTAAAAGCCCACAGCTTATTTCAGCACATATAACTTAGGTGAAGTAGAAGAAAAGATAGCACAGATCCACTAGAGGAAGTGAAAAAGTTGACAGAAAGAATGCCTATACAAGGGATATAGGCAACACAGTGTGAGAAGAGTACAGAAAACATTCTTTAAGTTTTCTGTCTGGCAACTAATATCAGTGTTAGGAAAACCACAATGTTTTAATTTCTTCACAAGCCATTATAAGATAGAAATTAAAACCAAAAATATATAAAAATAGAACAGATTGTATTAAACATAACTTCAAATTAAAAACACTTAAGCTTTATAGCAAATTAAAGAAAGTTAAAATCAAGTGCTGTGGAAAGTTGGCCATCACCCTTGATCATTATCTAGGCTTTAATATTATGGCTTCTGAGTCTTGTAGCTTGTTGAAAACAGAATATAGACAGTAACAGTTAAGAGTTAAGCTCTAAAAGTCGCATACCATCAAGTCCAAGATAAAATCCTTTCTTTTCCCACAGCCTTCTACTGTTATTCACATAATTATTTAATAAAAACATACCACTCCTCGACCTTTTTGCCAAGAGCTCTTTGCCTGGAAGTTTTAGCCCTTTAATGTTGATTATTTTCTCCATGCCTTTGGTTGTTGGTTTGTCTAGTAAATGCATTTTAGGAGGAACAGTATCTTCAGTAGGGCCAAACTGGTATTCTCTGCTCCAAATGCTATTTACATGATTATCACGTCTGTCATTCCAGCCACAACTTCTCTGTTGCACAAGCTACAAAAAAATTAAAAACCAGGACATAGGTTTATAATCTTGCCTTCTACATATGATTTCTTGATTTAGTATACGAGGACATTTTAACATTTGTACTTCTAGTGACATACTTAACACAAGCCTTTTCTTTTTTTTTTCCTCACATTTCTCACACTTCTTATACAAATTCCTTTTTTTAGTGCTGACATGACTTCATTTTAATATGGTGCAAGTGATTAACTGCTCTTCTGAGACAAAATTGAAAGTTTAAGCTTTATTTCTATTCAGAAGACATAATTTAGGATTGTACTTGGAATAAAACCAAATCTCTTCAAGAATTTTCTTTTTAAGTCACTTACTTCTGTCAATAGTATTAAGGACTTACCAAAAAAGTCTGAAAGTAAAACTAAAACAAACATTAAAGTCAAATGTCATGAAAAATAAAACTTTATCTGCAAAAAAAGCAAAAAAATATACATGTGGAAGCATATGGTTTCTGTAATAACAGAATAGCTTCATTTGAAAATAACATTCAATCACATTTTTTCACAAATGTTCAGACCCACATGAAATTTTCAACATATAACTTTAGAACAAAGATGTTACCTGTGCAGTGTCAGGGTTATAATTATCAATTTGTTCCATTGTATTGATATCGATGTTGCCAATGGCAATTTGAAAAGCAGTATCATCACCAAAATGTCTGTTTCCATCATCGTAAAGGAAAATATCTGAATATTATATTATATTTCAAGAACTATAGAATGAAAGTTAGAATATCTGTTTCCCATTTTTATGCTAACAAGCATGGCTAAAGTATTAACCTAAAGGATTAATACCACTACTTTTGGCTCAATCTGATGCAACAGCAATTGTAATTCATGATTTGCCAAAGGACTGCAGATCTAAGTCAAAATTAAATCCTTCCATTATTAGCAGAAAATTTACCAACTTTCTCTTATTTCTGGAAATGCCAGACATTAAGTGGCTTGAACATATAAAGCTAGTAACTACTTCAACAGTATCCTCTCTTTCTTCATTTTCCTAATCTTTCATGCTGCAATTTATGTTGCACAGACGTGGCAAAATGCTACTTGTTCTACAGGAAGAGATATCTGGTAAAACAGGAAATGCTTAGATTAGAGAACGAATTGAACACAAATTGCAAGAATTAAACAAGCAGAGATTATAACACACTTAAAATAGGCAGAAATTAAAGACAGTCATAAAGTAACTCAAACAGTTTAAATATAACCTGTATTTAACAATTGGTTTTCTAGAGAGAAAAAAAAAGGATTAATAATTTCTGCCTAAAATGATGTATCAATGATAGATCACTCAGTTACCCTCTGGCATGCTTTTTAAATTCATTAAAGTCAGAGTAAAGGAGCAAAGAAAGAAACCACTCCAAAATTGTAAGACTGCAGAAAAGCCAGGCTTTAGTAAACAGCAGGGGGGCAATGAAAAATCTAAGTACACCACTGATGCAATGAAAAGTATAAGACACCACATCTGCTCACCCTTATTTCCCCATTCTGCTGTTTCAACACAAAGGATACCGTCCTGCATAACTTAGTGTTTCTGGATCAATGTCATCCCCATATGCATTCAGAGGAACTAATTTTCTGTTGAGAGGATCAAAAACTAACTGATAAAGGAATGTATTATTGGCTCGTGTAAAGCCCTGTATGTATTCTTCTGGTACTGTTATATTCATCTTCAAGTACTGCCCCATTTTCTTAATAACCTGTAACAAAAAAGAAATTGCTCAACTGCTTCATTTAAACAGTTCACACAAACAGTTAAATACATGTTGATTATTAAGTATCTTTGTTCAAATTAAACCTAGAATGCATGTCCTGTTACAACAAGAAGATTAAACTTAAGCAAGGGAAGGAAAGAAAAAGAAATTTTGTACATTATTTTCCCACTCAAGTTGTTTACAATCACATAAATAACACAATTCAACTCTTTATAAATGCTTCTTGTTCAATAAAGAAGTACAAAGTGTGATTAGAAATACAGAGCGTCTCCTTAAGGTATACTATTTTAAACTAATGCATACCCTATTTTATTATTCATATTATCAGGACACATAAGCAATGCATGGGTGTTTCTAGAAGAGAAAAAAAGCAATACTAATCAGATTAAACCCTGACATTTTGCTCAGGGATACATGAAAGGAAATAATGATTTATATGGAAAAAGTTCAAAGTTCTCTTTTTATTTCCACAAAAGCCAAACCAGTTGCTTTGATGCCTGATTTACATGATACAAACCATTTTAAAAATAAAAATCATAGTTCTTGGTGTACAGCCTGTGAGAGAAAAAACCCCCCAAAATACACTAAAGCACACAATAACTTAAGAAAGAAGGTAACACACTAAGTTAATTAGACTGCATATTTAAATGCTTCTCTGGATCAGATTTACCTGCCTTCAGGACAGACCCATAAGGTATTCTTCTTATTAGCTCTTAAAAACCCCTCTACTCCCTTACTACGTACACAGAAGTTATTCCTACTCTCTTAGACTCTGTATTTTCTAATACTAGATTTGTTTTCATTTCATACATCGGACAAGAAAAAAAACCAAAAACACCCGACCTTATTTTTTGTTTTGCACATTACAAACTTTTCTTCCATACTGTTTTTAATATATAAATGTCCATATCCATACACATGTAATTAAATAAGATTTCCAGTTCCTGCCCCTCTCCCACACAGGTAATGGGGTGAGAAATGCAGAGCCTTACCAGAGAAAAAAGCAAAACCAAGTTTACCTTTATAATATCTGGATTGTTGGCTAATTTTAGTAACTTGCACGCTTTAGCTAACCCAATTCCATATATCGATGCGAGGTAGTCACAACCAGAAAGAATACACATGTAGCGGAATTTCTCTTCTGTAAACACATTTCCAAGCTGTTTGCAGTTTCCTAGTCGAGCTTGATCTATCTCTAGTCCATTTCCAAACTTGTCAATTTTCAGAAATACCTGAAAATTAAGAGGAAATGAAAACAACATTTTTCACCCATATAAGATAGTTCCTTGCACTTGGCGGAAACAAGAGAGGCAAAGTGCTATTCTCATCTCTTCTGTTTCCCACATTTACTGTAGAAGAGTAAATCCACAAAAACATATTTGGCAACTTCAAACTCTGCTTTTAAGATACCAGCAAGAGGTAAAAGCTGTTAGTATTTTCTTCCATACCTTTTTACATCCAAAAGCTAAAAGATCAGAGTCTTCTGTAATTATAGCTTGAACAATGCCAATCTTATTAAGATAAGCCAACTGAGCATCAGCTTCATAAGGAGCAACAATGCAATCAACTCCCCGGGCTCGTGCAGCCTGTACATAAACAAGAAGCATACAAGTACTTTGCATCAATTTGCAGTAATTACCTTAAGAGATCTGAAAGCATAAGAACCTCTATGTTAAAAAGCCAAAACCGTGATCTTTTTAGTCACACACCCATCCTGCCCCATTAGAGCCTGATATTTCATATTCAAAACCTCAAGTTTCAAACAGTTTAGATCTATACAGTTTACAAAAACAGCCTTTCCTGTGTTGGCCTGTAACACCACGGTCATTACATCTGACCACAGGTGCCAGCTTCAAACTCATTCAAATTATATTCTGGACAGAGGAAAACACCACCAGAATAAACTTGATACTGTTTTGACAAAGATCCTATGACTGCAGTGGAAGCATAGTAAAAAGCTCCTAGAACAGGTTTTAGGCAGCCAATTTTTTTTCTGCAGTCTATGCTCAGAAACTAGCTGAGGGTAAAAAGATAAAAAACTAATAATTGTGATTAGTTTTTGTGCATCAGAAGTGAAACTGAGGAGTTATCAAATTCAGTTCATAGCAGTAAGAAGAGATATTTCAACTGACACATCATTATTATTTATACAACTGGGCATAATAAACTAGAAGTGAAGTTAAAGTCTGTCAACTGTGCTTAACACAGTCCTGTAATATGTAGGACAACTAGAGACTGAGAAGGAAGGAGTGTTTTTCTTGCCTACATAGAAGAGGTAGAGGCAGACTAAGACATTCTACCTACTGCATATTTTTTTTAAAAACTGGCATTATCAACAGTATTGACAACTTACTTTAATAACTTCACGAGCCATGGCATGGGTAACATTTACACTGCGTCCAAAACATTCCCTGGCTTCTGACAGTTTCCCTTCCTGCAACAATTGTTTCCCCTTCAGAAGACTGGCTTGACGCTTCCTAAAAGATAGACAAAAATATCCACCAATTTCAGATTACTTTTCACTTGAAAGAACAAACAGCAGAGAGGACTAAGAGAGACAGGTGGCAAAGGGGGGGGGAAATTGGAACACTACCCAAATCTGGTCTATTGATTAATTTTTTTAAACATAAGAATAACTAAGTTATTGTACTGACAAGGATAACTAGGTCGGCATGTTGAAATTTATAGTACTTCCTCAGAAAACAGCGACTAACCAGGAACTGAAATCAGCAGTGTGAAAGAAGAAATGCACCCACTCTTAGTTTGCAGTAAAATAGATTTAATGAATTTTGGGAGTATCTGCCATTAGATACTTATGGTTTAGAGGACAAAAGGAATAATTTACTTAATTTCAAATATCAGAAACTGTTCACTCCATGCTGAAGGGAGCATATGTCTCATGGGAATTTATAAACAACAACCACTAGTGAAAAATTCTCACAGCTTCAGTGAGAAGTTGCATTTCTAGTGACCTGAATCCAAACCTGATATGAATTTATCTTATTATAGAGAAAGATGAGGAATGTGGTATTAGTTTTAAATAAAATTATATTGGGAAGAAATATTTTTGTCCAGAGATCACAAGGGCAGGCAAACTAAAAGCCTCTAATACATTACAGGAACTAACGCTCAGAGGTTTACTTCCTTCCTCTTATTAAATGGTTTTCATTTACAAAGTGCATTTCTATTTTTGGAATAAAACCTCTAAGAAGTTTAATTTTAGATGTAAATTAAATGAAAACACACTACACTGCAGGGAAGTTTACCAGACCTTACTACCTAGCTGAAGTTTGAGGGTTTTTGACTTTGAAAATTAACTGTAGTGATAAACACACTGCCTTGCTTGCAAATCAATACAGTTCAGTACTTACTCTCGTCGGGCCTTTTCCACTTCCTTCTTAGAGGGTAGGGTGCATCCATCAAATACCAAAATTGGTTTAATTCCAAATGAAAGGAGCATCTCAACAAGTTTCATACAGAAAGCTACATAACTGTATTGACAATAACAAAAGTAAGAATAGAAAGATAAACTTTATTGTCAATCACAAGTCTATTGCATATTATCTGTCTGCAGAAAAGGAGAACTGCAAGTTTAGGACAACTGTTGTTCAAGGATCTTAACAGGCTGTGTATTTCCCCAGCATCACAAAAAGAATAAGAACACTTGAATGCTGTTTGGTTGGTTTTGGAGTTTTTTTTATTAGAAAGAGAAACAGTCCACCTTCCAACTCAGAACTGGACTGACTGCTCCTCTCTCCTACACAAAATGAAATAAGAACTCAAGTACAATTCAGTCTGATTCTGCAACATTGGGATTCAACACTGACAAAAACTTGAAAAGTTAAAACATGGATTGTCTTTTTAGTTTCAGCAACTCAATTCGTAACGGCCAGAGAAACAGGAGGCAGACAAGCACAGTACATGATCTTTCCCCAGAAAGGCAGACTAAATGCACTTTTGTAGAGCTGAAAGTTATTAAATCTCTCTTTAAAGAACTATCCACTCTGCTCTCCAGACAGTGGACACATGCTATGGACAGACATACAAACCTATCTTCCCATACTAAAAATACAGGCAGAGCACTGAAAATATTTCAAAAGTCAGAAAAGTTCCCCAATCTGTACTAACTGCGAAGATGGTGTATGGGCCAGGAGGCAATCCTCCACTGCCTTTCAAACCCATCCCTGGAAAAATATTTGTTGGGAATCCCAGACTTTATTTATTCTCTCAGACCTCTCATCTCCTGTTATTTCTACAGTTCTGCAGAAGACCATTTTATATCAGCAGCACAGAACTAAAACATAATAGCTGCTGTAAACACTAAGTGCATTACAATGATGCCCAATGAAAAAAAATCAAGTGTTTTTATTTTAAGGACACTGTTTAAAACAAAAAGAGTAACCTTTTCAGCAGGGGAAGGGAGGGGAAGGAGACTGGGACTTAGAAGCATTTAGAATGTAAGGATTAAAGACACTGAATTTAGAGCTACAGAAAAATAATTATGATTTTGAAAGACAAGCACTTTAGTTATATAACACAGATGAATTTTAAACTGTGAAAGGATGCTAAACTATAGTTTAAGTGTGAGTCTAGGATAATACGTGCATGGAAACAAGATTTGCTCATAAAATATTTATGTATTTAAATTCAACCATTCCAAAGTTTCCTATAACTATGAATATTTCTCCTGACAGACAATTTTTTCTTCAACTGAAGTGTATCCCATTCTCAGGACTGAGAGACCTTCACAACCTTCAAAGGCAGGTAGCAGGGTAGGATGAAACTCCACAGTTCTTCAAATCAACAGAAGCAGGAGTAAAGATTTGAACCCATTTGCAAAGCATCAAGTCTCTCTTGCCTCCAGTCAAACATTTGATGGAGCCAAGGTCTTCTCTTGGTGGTGCCAAGCAATAGGACAAGAGGAAACGAGTAGAAACCAAAACCCAGGAATTCCTACTTGGATATAAGAAGAACTTCTTTACTGTGCAAGTGACCAAGCACTGGAACAGGTTGCCAAGAGAAGTTTTAGAACCTCTTACTTCTCTGGAGATATTTAAAAGCCATCTGGATGCAATTCCAAGTAAGTGCTCTAGGGGACCCCGCACGAGCAGGAGGTAGGACCAGATGACATCCAATAGTCCCTTCCAACCTTACCCATTCTGTGATTTAAAACTATATCCAATCTGAAATAAGAGTTCAACCCAGTTTTGCAGAGATGGACAAGAAGTTACACAAACCGAATTTAAGCTCCAGAGCTGAACCTGAAATATGACCACAATTTTTGTTCATTTCCCTTCCTTAGAAATATAACTGTGTAAACTAAAAATCCATGTTACATTAGAAAACCTACTCTTACTAAAAATATAATACATTAAGCAAAAAAAACTTACACCTTATTCAGAGCACAACCCATCTCTCATAATTCCTCAGCATCATTACAAGTTTTGTCACAGTAGTAATTACAAAGTATCATTGCATACAAAAAAGGTGCTGAATTTGAAACATATGAATTTGAAACACATGAATTGCATGTACACAATCTTATCTGAGAAATTAGATTATTACCTAGACATGTTAGAAAAAAAACTAACTCTCACAGCCATTGGTATTTTAACAAAAAATAGTTTAGAGAGTTTTTTCCCCAACGTATACTTGAATATTTATTTTGCACAGTTGAAAAACTATTCACTTATGGCCAAAATTTCCATTTCGAAAGAGTACAAGTGGGACTGAGAATTCAGAAGCAAAAGTAAGAAGCGAAGTTGTTATATACTTAGCTTTATTATTATAAACTATTAGTTAAGAAACGAACAAAGCTAACAAAACTTAAATTTGTAGGAGGGCCGAGACCGAAACACAACGAAGACTTACAGATCCGTGGGCTCTCCTCGGGCAAGCTTCTCAGCGCACGCATAAGCGCCTTTGTGCAGCCAGCAGTAGGTGTCCACAGCGACCGTCAGCCCTTTGTACTTCTTCACGTGGGAAGGCTCGGCCGCCTCCTTGATGAACTGGAGCAGGCCTTGGATCCCCATGGCGCCGCTTGAGCTGCAGAGTGGGGGGGAAAGGAACCTGGATCTTCGCTCACGGCACGTCGGGTCAGATCAGATCTGAGGTCGCTGAGCCGGGCCAGGGGCACGGGAGGCTTCCGCGGGTGCCCCCCCCAAACCTCAGCTCGGGACTGTCTCGCACGCTCGGTGGCTCTGCCTCGGCGCGGGCCGGCACTGCCAGGGGAAGGGGGTGAGCGAAGGGAAGGGGGTGAGCGAAGGGAAGGGGGT